CCTTATGTAGCCGAATCTGCGCTGGTTTGAATGGGCCTCCAGTTTTCCCTTTTGTGTTGCTGCCTCCAGCTAGCGCTGTGACGTCGCTGACCCTAGTTACCTGTGGTTGGCCTGGCAGTGCGTCACTCAGAAAACAACAGGCCAATCAGAAGAGAGGCTCATGAATATTAATTAGACAGGCCAAAATCGACCTGAGAGAGGAGCTGTAAAAATATATTGAGATGGTTTTTGGTACCTATACCGCAAATATATATTATTATTAAGGACATCAAAACCTAAAATAAAACTCCAGAAAGGTGTAAAATATGGGACCTTTAAGAGAGTGGAATAACCTGAGAAGTCCACTTCACAGAGCACTTACAGTAAATGGAATGCATCTCTGAACTGAACTTAAACACTTCTTATAACCAAGCAACAGAGAAATAGCTGATGAATAGAGTAATTCTGCTTGCCTGATTTCGGTAAATGACACAAGGATATGGGGGTAGAATTGTTGCTTAATTCCAAATAAATAGATTATGATCCACAAATAAATAGAATGAGATTCACAAATAAATCTTAAAGTTTCACAAACATGAATTAAATTCACAAATAAATAAAATGAGATTTGCAAATAAAAAACATTCACAAATATACTATATTTATGTCACAACCATAACTTTGAATGGCATTTATTTGTGAATCGCGTCCTGTGCATTTGTAGATAGCTGCTCGCATTTGTGAATCGCGTCCTGTGCATTTATTTTTTGTGCATGCACAAAGGCACGTAACATAAAATACTGTGGCTTGGCATGATACACAGTCTAATGGTCTAACGAAATCCAGTTTTAAACATCTTTTACTGTACCCATTGTATGGCCCTTATATGACCTATTTGAGCCAATGCAGATGAATGAAGTTATCTCAGGACGGCAACAATTCTACCCCCGTACAAGGACATCACGGAAAAACACATAGGTTTGAAAAAGTGGAGCTCCATCTGCAACTAATTCTATGTCCACAATAATCCAAATACAATTTTCATTTCAACACACTTCATCCACACTAGCTTTTTCAAGTATTTTTCTAAAGTTCTGTGTCCACACTGAAACGTCTGAAAATAGAATTTAGTTGAATGACACGTACGCATTCTACATTATTTTCGAGTCTGACTTGATACACAGCAAACAGACATAAAAGTTCTCACACCATTTTTCGGGCACAATAATTTTATTAACAAAATAATCCACCACTTACTGCCGCATTCAGGTCACACTTAAAATCATTATTCCATGTAGCAAGTACATTTTCAGTCATATTCACTGGAATGCAATATGAAGATTATGCCAAATAACATTTATCTTTAACTATACTTTAACAATATTAAAGTGAATAGCAGGCACAACAATGCCAGTACAACCACAGACATCTATGGGATATCACATTACTGAACACATGCCATAATTACTGAACACCTCCAGTTTTGCAATCCACACTACAATGTGAAAACAGCATTTTCAAATTTATCCCCCTGGGAGAGTGTCTTCAAAAAGCTCCGTTTTCACCATTTTAGTGTAGTTCAGAGCTGGGCAACTTCGGTCCTGGAGAACCACTGCTCTGCAGAGTTTAGCTCCAACCCTAATTAAACACACCTGCCTGTAGCTTTCTAGTGATCTTGAGGACTCGCTCTGCATCCCAATGTTCGTAATATCCATCCTAATTAGTATGTGAGATTAAAATAAGTGTGTCCCAAAGCATAGTACGTTGAAAAGAGTATGCCAGAAGTCCCCGCATGGTCTACTATTTCAGGTCGATTTTTGAAGTGTGGATCCGTGCACACTCTGATGGCTAATATTACCCACAATCCATTGCGCTTTGGTGAAGGATTTGGTTCAGAACTACAAACACAAATAAAAACCGTTAAAAAACTACAAACATGGTGGATGCGCCCGAATGATGATTAAGTAGAGAGGTTTAGATAAAGGGGTTTGAGTTACTAATAATCAACATTTAACCTGTTAAAATATTTTATTTAATGTTATCTGAGTTAGGATATTTCATCTACAACAACAATGTGAACTTGTATAAACACCTGTTTGACCATTAACTTTTAAATGCATTATTATGTAAAAAATATGAGCAGAGTTCTCTGCATAAAGACCCACGGCTGGCAGATCAACGTGCTTCTTCATTTCTTTCCAATACGGCAGGAAGTTAAATTAAATTAAATGTGATAAAATAAAACTCCAGAAAGGTGTAAAATATGGGACCTTTAAGAGAGTGGAATAACCTGAGAAGTCCTTTTCACAGAGCACTTACGGTAAATGGAATGCATCTCTGAACTGAACTTAAACACTTCTTATAACCAAGCAACAGAGAAATAGCTGATGAATAGAGTAATTCTGCTTGACTGATTTCGGTAAATGACACAAGGATATGGGGGTAGAATTGTTGCTTAATTCCAAATAAATAGATTATGATCCACAAATAAATAGAATGAGATTCACAAATAAATCTTAAAGTTTCACAAACATGAATTAAATTCACAAATAAATAAAATGAGATTTGCAAATAAAAAACATATTCACAAATATACTATATTTATGTCACAACCACAACTTTGAATGGCATTTATTTGTGAATCGCGTCCTGTGCATTTGTAGATAGCTGCTCGCATTTGTGAATCGTGTCCTGTGCATTTATTTTTTGTGCATGCACAAAGGCACGTGACTGTGACAAGATGATTGACAGGCCAGTTTACAGTGACAGGATGCATGTAATTATGCGACAGAGCGGACCGTTAAAGATGCAATTGTGTGACATGATAGTATGTCACAAAGCTTGCCTACTCTTCTACTACACTCTCAAAAGTGTGTACTTTTTCTTCACCAAAAGAGTACATACTTTAAGGGCGTAGTATACGTAGGCACATTGAGACACAGCAATTGATTAGCTTGTCTAGGTGTGTTTGATTAGGGTTGGAGCTAAACTCTGCAGGACAGTGGCCCTTCAGGACCAATTTTGCCCAGCTCTTTAAAGTTCTCTATGTAACTTTTGGCACTCTTGCAGTTAATAAACAAAACTGCATGCATCTTGCAGAAGAACACTGTAGCTGGAGCTACTTTGCTCTGTTTATATATATAACATGCCATGCAGTTACTGAGCTACTCTGCAGTGGTTGGTGTCCTGCTCGATCAGAAATAGTCTGAATATAAAAACTTCATTATAGGCATGCCATAGTAGAAAAAAGTTTTGGAAGATGGATTGATAAAGTATTCACAAATTTTTTATCAATTCTGTACATTTTGAACAAAAAAAATTACATTGTGTACTTTTAATTGACGATCTGGACTGTTGCTGTCTGTGTTGTAGATTGTCTGGCTGTATGGTGACAGAGAAAGGCTGTGGTTATGTGTCTTCAGCTCTGAGTTCAAACCCCTCACACTTGAGAGAGCTGGATCTGAGCTACAATCACCCCGGAGATTCAGGAGTCAAGCTGCTCTCTGAAAAACTGGAGGATCCAAACTGCACACTGGACAATCTCAAGTATGTTGACACTGCTGTGTGTGCTTGTTTGAGTTTACTGATTGTATGAGATCTGCAGAATGTGACACTGTGTGTGTTTTACAGTGTAGATCATGGAGGAGAGTTGAGGATTACAGCAGGACTACACAAATGTATGTCTACACACCCACCCACCCACACACACACACACACCCCTTTAGTGACTGTTATAAATGACTCTTTTCTTGTGTTCAGATGCCTGTGATCTCACACTGGATCCAAACACAGCACACAATCATCTCGTTCTGTCTGAGAATAGAAGAAAGGTGACACATGTGGAAGAGTATCAGTCATATCCCGATCATCCAGACAGATTTGATGGGTGTCCTCAGGTTCTGAGTAGAGAGAGTCTGTCTGGACGCTGTTACTGGGAGACTGAATGGAGTGGAAATGCTATTATCTCAGTGACATATAAAGGAATCAGAAGGAAAGGAGGAAGTTGTTCCTGTGAGTTTGGATACAATAAAAACTCCTGGAGTTTGATATGTATTAATAATAGATTTACTGTCTGGCACAATCTTAGTTCAATTGACATACGTGTCCCTTCACACTCCTCTAAGAGAGTAGGAGTGTATGTGGATGTGTCAGCTGGCACTCTGTCCCTGTTCAAGGTCTCTGACTCACACACACTCACACACTTACACACATTCACCTCCACATTCACCGAACCTCTCTATGCTGGATTTACAGTTTTTGATTCATTGTCTCTGTCAGGTTGAAAAGCCAGTACGCAACAACAGAGACAGCTTACCTTTGGTTTGACTCTGTTAATTATGAGGATGATATAAGGAGTTGAGCACCATTTACTTTTGTTCTTGTTAATTTGTTCTCCTTTTTTATTATGTATTTATGTATTTTTGTAGTCTGTAAAAAAGCTGACCGGACACACACACACACACACACACACACACACACACACAATACAATACAGTAAATGTTTAGGTTTATTTATAAATAAGACAAATTTTCTTGACCTAGGAATCAGTAGTAAAGTAATATCAATGCTTGCTTAGAAGTCATGAGGTCATATTTATTGTAAATTTAAATGTCTGCTTCACTGAATACATGATGTTAAGGAACCACATAATGTGTATTAGATTATAGCTGTGTATTAGTGCCTTATGGACATTACCTTCACACACTCATCTCTGGCTTATAACAGAATACTTCCTAAATTGTAACACTGAAACAATTATTTTCTGTAAAGCTGCTTTTGAAAACAGATGTATTGTGAAAATCTCTGTACAAATAATCTTGAATTTGTTGTAAGATGGTAATAGATGAGAAATAAACAATACAGTAAGACAGTATAAAATTCATTTCAGCATTTACACAGCCTGAACCACTGTAGTGGAAAACCCCTACTCTTATAGGCAGGGTTCCCACTCTTTCATGAACACCAGTTTCAAGGACTTTTTAAAGCACCATTTATTTTATATCAAGCACCTATCAAATTCACACCCCATAATATGTAGTGTCATGAAATTCACTAAGCTGTTTTTCCAATTTTTCAAGTTCTACATTTTCTCCTTAGCTCCATGTTGCAGTAAGTTTTGGGAGTTCATTTATAGTCCATCTCCTATCCAGAAAAGTCTGTCTTGCAGAGACTTGACAAAAATGAGCTCCTAAAACTTACTGCCAGATTCTGGAAGATCAATTCTTCAAACAGTGGTACAAGAGGATGTGGTGCTGGTCCTTCAAGAGTCACTCTCAGCTTATCTGTCCATAAAGCCTATAAAAATAGTCCATGTATTTCACAATACTTCAGAATGTTATTCTTATTAAGTGGGGGTCATTTTTAAGGATTTTTTACCCAATAAAAGTCTCTGAGAACCTGTCACCTTGTAATTCTGGAGACTCGTGGTTGCAGTTCTGGAAAATAGTGGCACTGGAGACTAAAAGGTTCCTGATGGTTTCACACTTAATTCTTCACATTAATTATTCATTATTTTGCAGTTAACATGCTCTTTTCTTCTCCACCTGTTTTTTCTGACCCCGCTGACCCAATGAGCATTTTGCTGACCAGTGCTCATGCCTTAACTTTGAAATTTCTGTATTGCATTAGTTTTTAATATTTCTCATGGGGATTTAATCATTTTTGACTTCCCAGTCTGAGTTAAATCTCTTTTTTGGCTCATTTCATCCGTAAAAGAAAACCTGCCTAATAATTCCGCACACTTTAATAAGGAGTTTTTTTTATTTCCAGCCTTCATGTACAATAATATATCACTTCTAAATTATGAAATACAAAAATAATAGTAGTTATTAAGATTGATGTGGTTTGGAATTGGTCAAATATGCTTGGAAAAAAATATGATCAGAATATCAACGTGGCTAATAATTATGCACACACTGTAAGATGTGCTCCCTTTACACAGAGTGTGCATGATCACAAAATCAAAAGTGAACAGCGAGCGCTCATTCAAATGCGATTTCAATACCCCGCATATTGATAGCGGCTCCCTGATGTGCAAAAATAATATACAATATTAGAATGATTGCGGGACACACATGTTGTGGGAGCGGGCGGTAATGGTCAGAAATTCAGCGGGAGCGGGCTTAAGAAAACTGTCCCCAAGGCTCTAGGCTGCGCATCAACACACACACTAATTTTTTTCGCGCTACCCCATCTCCACCCCCAATCATTAGTGCCATTTCGCTCTGTCTTTGACAGAACATATAGGACAATTTTTGAAATAGTGCCATAAATGGGTTGAAGCAAAAAAATATATATTTTGACTGAAAGTTTTTCCTCAGCCAAACCCCATTCCACAGCCATACCTGACACACACACAGTTTAAAAGCATGTTTTTCTTCTTGCAATTAGGAGCGCTCGTCCTCCTAATTCAAAAAATTTAGGAGCACCTTCTGATCAATAATAAAAAATTCTGATAAAAAATTAGCCTTCCTAATACGAGGTGACATTTGACTCAAAGTGTAATGGCATCTTTTTCATCTATGTCAAATTCAACAATGTATGTTTATAAGCTTTTTAAAATTTCTATTTAAAACAATATAATAAGAAGTAGAATAAGACAAATAGGTTACCAATCATGTAAAATTAGTATTAATAAAAAATGAATTTGTACTACAGAGGTGGCACAGAAGAACACAAAAGTGGCTTGTAGGTACATTTTCAGACGTTTAATGAGGCTCAGAGGTGGCATGAGTGCAATTAAATTCATACATTTATGTGGAGATTAATGTTTTAAATATAAAATCTTGAATACAGAAATATTAAATGATTTAAATAACTGAAATTATACGCTAAAAATGAAACTAAATCCGCCAGCAGATGGTGACAAGTCACTGATTTTATCACTGAATCATTCATTCAATTGATTCGTTCGAACGGCTGATTCATTCAGGAATGAAGCAAGTGACTGTCTTTATGAATGGGTAATCATGAATCACTGACTCACTAGATTCGTTCAAAAACGCACTTTCATTGAATGAATGAAACTAAGCTGTGTTTGCTTTTAGAGATGCGCAGTGGCTGAGCTGTTACTATATTTGGAACTATTTTCGTTAAAGAAATGGAGCAAAATCAGGCAGTACTTGTTTACTGAACTGTTGTATTGAATCAGTATCACATTGGCAAACTCCCTTAATAATTATTAAAAGCTGTCACTCTCCTTATCGCGATCTGTGGGCGCACAGAAAATGAGAGTGCGCGAGTGAGTTCTCAAGACTCAAAAGCACGTGCAAATGATACGTTTCGTCATCTGTCATCGTGTTATAAGCGCGGAACCTGCGGGAATGAGTAGAATTGTTATTAATCTCACTCCGAAATTCAAGTCCTGCTCTGTGTTCTCTGCTACTAACCCGACTGTGAATGATGCGAGTGGCGTCACATATGTTGTCACTGAGAAGCTGGAGCCGTGGCCTGGAATGATTTTTGGTGTGCCGGCAGAACAACAACAATGCGCTACATGTTTCTTTTCCTCTAATTTGTTTTTCCCCCAATTGACGGAAATCCGTCGTATCGACGGAAAACTTTAATCCCTGCATAAACAAAATTTATTTCAAATTTAATTCATGCACTTTCAAGGACCTATGTTTGTTTTCAAGTACTTTCCAGGCCTTGAATCCATATGTCTGAAATTCAAGTACTTTCAAGAAGCGTGGGAACCCTGTAAAGGGGACAACACACAGTTTCTGCCAATCTCATGTTAAAGGGTTAGTTCACCCAAAAAATGAAAATTGGGCTGTGTTTTACTCACCCCCGAGGCATCCTAGGTGTATATGACTTTCTTCTTTCAGACAAAACGTAATAATCACTTTAATGTAGCTTGCGCTCACTGAAGTAAACGGAAGCAGCTCCGGGAGGGTGACGTATCGAGGTCGGCTTTGCACATGCGCCGCTCAGAAGTGACGCATGCGGAAAACCAGCGGAGAGATCAAAACAAAACAACGGTTACTAATTAGAAGTACAAAACGAGGATTTTATAAAGAAGAATGTCGGAGGATTTCGATATAAGCCAAGAGGAGACTGGTTTTCCTTTGCTAAAGTAAGGAAACTTTGCTTCCTTTGCTCCTGGAAACAAACGTTCACCATTTTTGGGAGAACTAACCCTTTAATTAATTTGCCTTTGCCAGGTGTTTCTGTACATTGTCTGCCCTCCTGCAGTTTTCTCACCTTTCCTTTTTGAAAGGTTTTAACTTCATATATTGCTTCATTTAATTTTTTTCTTGAAGTTCTCTAAAGAGTAAATATTCTACTCTTATTTTAGTGCTGTGATTTAAACACTGCATTTAAAGAGTCGTGTCTCATTTAATTCTTCATTGTAAATGCCCACTGCTAGGACTGAGTAACATCTTTGCATATTAAATTAATAACTATATATGGAAGTCTTTTGAACATGCTTTTACAGCAGCCAAGATTAACCAATCATGAAAAGTTATCTGGTCCATCTTGCTTTGATGTGATGCTGATGTATGCAAAATAAACTCTGGCTTTCACCCGACTAGAGCTGCCCTTCTAAAAGTCATTAGTAGATGAGAAGAAGCTTAGTCGACAAAAATGTTATTAACCGGTTAAGCCGCGGTCACACTACACTTTTCGTTCCACTGACTTCCATTCATGCGAATGCGTCAAACCGGAAACGCAAGCCCGTGCGAAAAGTTTTCGCATTTCGCTGCATTCCAAAGTTCAAGCTTGGTGAACTCTGACCTGCGAATTCGCATCACGTGACACCGTGTGACCAACAGCAGATCGATACGTCACAGCATGACCTCCTATCTGAATTAAAAGAATATAAATCTAAAACTGCAGCACTGCAGGAAAGTGGAGTAAATTGTATGTTTTACATTTTAGGTGTATTATTATTGTTTATGTGTTGAATTTAAAAAGACGTCATATCATGACTGTTGCAGCGTCCGAACGAATTTCACATGCTCAAAGTGTAGTGTAACCGCGGCTTTAGTCGCAGGAAAAAACGGCCTGTGTCTGGGACGGACAGATTCTTAACAGTTGGTCATTGAGGTAATTACGGTATATCGGGCAGGAAATCAAAACTTTCGTCGTTCATCGACCTCAAATATGGCTATCATTTGAAAGCGAAACATTTAACTAGTAGCAACTTTACATGGCCACTCTCTCTAACGTTAACCTAGATAACAATACACACCACTCTCAATAAAGGTTGCAAATTTATTAATATTTTCAATAAACATTACATTTAAAAAAAACATTTACATTTATCAGATGCTTTTATCAAAAGTGACTTACAAATGAGAGCATTCAAATCAATTCACAATTGTT